TTGTGACAATGATTAGAAGAGAGCTAACGTATCACATGTAAGTTTAAGGGCTGAAACTGCAGAACACCATTGTTAGGGCTCAAGCATTTTTGAGCTTCGGATCTAGTGATGCAAGGACTTTCAGTCTAAACCGAGGCCAAATTTGAATTCAGGAGATAATTTTATGTGGAATAAACCTCTTAGTTGTTCACGAATCTAATGTTTTGCAGGTTTTTCATTTTTGTGCCAACCGGAGAAGACAACCGTGAGTTGAGTCCGGCGTGTTGACTCTGGTGGCCCAAGTGCCAACATCTAATTGGTCCATTGGAATCCATCATGACGCGCGTTTGAAATTTGAAAGTTTGACTGATTTCTTAATATATTGTTTTCGTTTTATTATATTAATGAATGAGCAGGGTGATCTAGTGGTAACAAACGCGTGCTTAAGGCTTTCCTCTCCTAGAACTTGAGTTTGTATCCCAGGTTTTGTCATTTTGGAGTTTCAACATTTTTTTGCAGATTATTGAACGCCTGGACCTCCTCCTCGTTGGGCCTAAAAATTGCAAATTCACACCCCTCTATTTCCTGTTGCCACGCTTGGGCCTAAGACATTGGGCTTGAGACAATTTCAACTTTCACCCCCTGATTGCTGGTTACAACCCGACCCATTATTACCATTTTTTTTAATTCTAATTCTTTTTCTTTTTCTTTACATTAATTAATTTCTTATTTATAAAATCAAAATCACAAAAATAATTAGAATTAGTTTTCTTTAATTAAATTAATTTTTATAAATCATTTTTTATTAATTAATTAGACTTAGGAATTTCTTAATTTAACTTAAATATTTCTTAATAAAAAATACAAAACAACCAAAAATATTTCTTTCTTTTTGTCACTTAGAAATTTTTAGGGCTTTCTGTTCTCCGCATAGTAATTTTTTTTATTCGCATTTTTATTTTAAAATATTATTTAATTTCCTATGGATTGTAATAGCTTAATCTAGGACCTTTACATTTTCTTATCACCCATTTATTTGGTTTTTAATTCCTCCATCCCGAAGCATTGTAATAGCATAGTTTAAATTCCCTCACTTTTATTTTATGTACATATATTAACTGCTAGATGAATGTTAATAGACGTGCATGATAAGATCTAAAAACAAACGGTAGAAAAACCTAAGTGTTTAAAGATAAATAACCGAAACATAACACACTCGCACACACACCTCTAAGGTACCCTCACTTGTTGCTTTTGAAAAACAGTCATGTCCCTTGAACGTGGGATACTTTAGCAAATACCCTCGGTTAAAAAGATCGTAGTCCCTCTATGACCCTTCGATGCTGCCTTCGGTAAATGATCTAGTCCCTTACGATAAAATTGCTAAAGTGCCCTACGAGTTGCATTTATGACTGTACGATGACCCGCACCTGTCCCTAAAAACATCCAACCACAGGGCTACCTACTGACTAATAGTAGGGTAACACTTTCTAAAGGAAAAGAGGAAAAGAACAAAGACCGTTCGAGTAGATAGACAGTTCATAGTTGCTTGCTCACAAAAAAAAACAATTTCTTACACATACGCAAACCCTTCTCTAAATAATTTCACACTTTGTATACGTTCTCCACAATACGAGAAACATTACAAAGTTCGCCGCACTAAGGCGCCTTTTCAAAAAATATTTTCAAATACACTTACACCAAAAAAGCATTTTCAAAAGTGAGCTCGCAACTAAGAGCCCGTAGATAACTACGGATGGAAAGGGTGATAACACCTTCCCTTTCCATAACCTACCCCCGAACTCAAAATCTTTAAAAATGTCTTTCCTGTTCTTTTCACCATTTCCTTTGTTGGATAAAAGAAAAGTCAGTGGCGACTCTTGCTAACCGCAACATTTGCGATAAAACGCAAAAACCAGTAAAGTCAGTTCTCCCACCGTATTACACTTGGGTATTGAGAAAATTGTAATCAGAAGTTATTATAGTGAAATCTCTTGGAAGTACAATGAGACTGGACTACTCTTGATTTGTGGGAGGAACCAAGATAATTGCCTGTGTCTCTCTTTCTCTTTGTCTCTACTATGATATTATCTTATTCGGTGCAAACATGTTACCCTGAATTAGATTCTAGACTTTGTATTTAGAATCTGATAAGATAGTTTTGAAAAAGAAATAAATAATTGATGCAATTCAATCCACTTCTCGTGTTTTTCTCACCTTCAACGATCAAAAGTCGATTATGTTAATTTTTTAAAGGAAGAGGTAGGTAGGTACAGCCATTCGTCTACTTTTCCTGCTCAAATAACAAGGTTGAATGCTTCTCTTGATGATGGGTAGGAACGCTGAAAGAAGGCTTCTAAAGAAGTGGTTGAGGCGTGTCAAGCGATCGAAATGGCTAGAAAAATTCTTCAACAGAAGAAGGATGATAGATCAATGCTTTGAAAGGCCTCAAAGAGGAGGTGGTTTATTCACAACGAAGATCTCATTAATCCCTTCAACGGGCTGGAAGCATTTTATAATGAGAGATGAGATTGATCTGGAGAGAAAACTTAATCAGGAGAGAAAAATTAATATCTACATTAATAATTTAATAAATAATTCTTGATTAATTTATTGATTGATATTTTACCCTTTTATCTCTCATTATAAAAACACTCCTATTTAATACTTGATATGTCACATCCTCATCTCTTTCATGTTCAACCTTTCAACTTCCATCACAGCAACTACAGAACTCTGTCGTTCATTTCAATTAATCAAAGTCTTAACCTCATCAAATATGTTAAAAAAATCATTTTATTTTCTCTTTCAATTAAATCGAAAGTTTATTCTTTTATAAAAATTGTTCCTTTTGCTCAATTAGACCTAAAATTTCATACTATAAGATTTATAAAAAAAACTAATGTCATACGGTATTATTAAAGCTTAAATTATCTTTTGTTAATAAATCAATACAATATAATAATGTAAGATGAGTTCTTTGATAAGTTTTACACTTGGCAAACTCTCATTAATTCTTCTATTTATATTTCATCTATAAAGAGAAACTTCCTATAAATGTATTACTATTATTTATAATTTATTTTTTAATTGGTCTCATTAATATCAAGACCATGATTATTTTATGTATCACGCTTACAACATATCATTGTGATTGGCTTTTTGGAGCATTCCAATCGTTGACAACCATTCAACTTCCCTCGGAAATCGTTTTTTTTTATTTTCAAGTTCACAATGCAACCTTCTGTATACCGGGTAATTAATTCTCCCCAATTTCCAAACCCTAATTCATGTATTGAGATGGATCTAAGAGGAGATTTCAAATTCTACTCATCAATGAATTATGTTTCCCAGGTAAGTTCATGAATCACAATTTAAATTGATTTTGTTTTATTTTGTGCTAAATCCATATGAATTTCGTGGACATAAATAGGTATTATTCGTCTTAGATTGTAAACATATTCGATTTCTTCTTGATAGTTGTGGCAGTTATTATTCACAATTTTGCATCCATCTTTTTGTGTTAGGTTTGTTCATGGCTTCCAGAGGTGTCAACTTTGTTAACGAAATAACTCCTGCAAAGGAGTCGTGGAACATTGATGTTCGAGTTGTCCGCTTATGGATCGTACCAGACATGAATGTGAAACATAAATATTTTGCAATGGAAATGGTTCTCATGGATGATAAGGTGATTTTTTTATTTCATTTACCGTTTAAGTTAAATTGCAATAAAATGTTTTATACCGATATAAACTGAATTTCATATTGTTTGTGATTTGATAGGGTGACAAAATCCAAGCTTCAGTTTGAAAAATCTTGCTGCCTCGATTTGAAAATAAAATTAAGGAGGGATCTTCGTATAATTTCAAGTCATTTGGTGTTGCTGCTAATACTGGAGCGTTTAGGACTACGAAACACCAGTTTAAATTGAATTTGTAGAATGGCACGATTGTCACTAATGTTGGAACTAGAATTACAACATTATTGCCTTATTTGTTTGTATCTTTTACATATATTCTTGAAAACATAGACATGGACTACTTGATTGGTAGTATACCTTATGTTTTAGTATGTTTTTCATATATTTTTATAGTTGTGCATCTAAAGTTCTAATTTCTTAAATATTTTCCAGATGTTATTGGTATTTTGTCTTCTGTTGTTCGTGAAAGGGTGTATGAAAGGAATCGTGTAGCTACAAAATTTAAAGTTATTGAGTTGGAAGCCAATGGGTAACATATTTTTTGTGAGTTATACATTACATTGTTATGTAATATTCTAATCATTTGTCTGATTAAATTTTATAGCTCATGTAGAATTAAGCTTGAGCGCACGTTATTTGGATCGTATGTTGATGCCCTTGACGCCTTTCTGCAATCTGGTTGTAATGAAAGTGTTGTTGTGGTTGCTCAATATCTGAAAGTGAAATTGTATAATGGAAAGGTCCAACTTCAAAATGCAATGGACTCTACCAAGCTTTTGTTCAACCTTGAAATTCCTGAGGCAGGCAATTTGAAGGCCCACGATAAAGTTGGTTCCACTACACAACCATTCAGTTATATGAAGGATGCTTCAAAGTTGAGTTTAGAAGAATAATTTTTGAAATTGAGTCAACGTAAAACAATTGAGGAACTGAAGGATTGTCAAGATGTAATATTTCGCCATCAATTCATACAAAAATTACTTGAGATAGACTGTCTACTTTTTAGTTTTTTAACTTAACATAAATTTCTTGTGTGTTGAATATTGTTTGTATTGTGTTAGGGACAATCAAACATGTTTTTGGTGGAAATGATTGGTGGTATGGTGCATGTGTCTGCAACAAGGGTGTTGTTACAGACTCAAAAAGGATTTTTTGCCTTAAGTGCGAAAAGCATGTTTGGACAATTGCGCCAAGGTATTTCACTGTTAATTATGTTTATACTTTCTTAATGATTATTGCGTAGATGTTTATTGATTATTATGGATTACATATATAGGTACCGTATCAAACTCGGGGTGATTGATGAAACTGATTTTGCCACATGTGGATTGATGAAATTGATCAAATGGATTGTGTGAGTGTTTCATTTTTACATATATCTATTACCTATTTTATTTTGTATTATGAGTTGTTATCTAATGTTTCTATTTGTAATATTTCGGATTTTAGGATGATGAGCCAACAGTTTTGCCAATAGTTATTGGTGAATTGGTTGAACAAACTATGCTCTTTAAGATATTTGTGAATAATGACATGAACTCTGAGTTTGAACAATCATTTCGTGTAAAAAATTGTGTACTGACCAAGGTATTATGGCTAAATTCAAAAATGTTGTTCACGTATTATATATATTATCGTATGTTATTGTGTATTGTTGTAGTTGAACTTCATTATATGTCTTCATACACTATTTATTAATATCAATGTATGTTTAATATAGAACTCTGGTGGTGTTGAGGATGATTTGGTTGTTGGTGTTGTTCATAATGACATATATGTTGTTGTGGTTCAAGATTTGGGAAGCAAGTTTGAGAACATTGTTGCCGAGGAGAAATGTGGAGACAATAGTTCGTCATCCAAACTTATTGAAGAAAATGTTGCTGAAAGCATTCCTGTTAAAAGGGGCATAAACCAAGTTGCTGATGAAAATGACAGATCCAACTCAAGAATTACGAAATACATTAAGATTGAGAAGGATTGATTTGCACATGTCTTCTTTCAGTCTTATTTTATATCAATAATAATATGTAATTCACATTTAAATGTTCTGGATGATTCCCGTGTTTGATTTTGGGGGCATATGTTAAGTTTGAATTTGTGTTTTTAACTTTTGATTTATGTTACAATTTCTGGTGTTGTTTGTTATTTTACTTGGATTACTTTTGGTATTGTGTAACGATATTCCGTTGTCGTGTTTGTTATGTTAATCCATTTTTGGCATAATATAAATATGTTAAGTATGTTAATCAACAATGTCTTACTGTTATTATTGTTATTCTGTTCATTTTATATATCTACTCTTGTTGATACTTTTTTATGCTATCTGTTTAGGAGCAATCATTTAAAAAGGTTGGTGTCAGTAGTCCGTCTTATAAGAGGAAACAACTTAACTGATAATTAACACATTGCAGGTATGTAATATTATACCAACTATGATTAACATTTTGCACATTGTATATATTTCATGTTATAGTGTGATTTATCAAGCACTAAACAACTGTGAAACCTGCATATACAATGTACACATATTTTCTGTCTTATTTATATTCATTATGTAAATATTTGCATAAGTTTAAAAAAGATAATAATTAGTGAATCTACCTGGGTTGAAGTGCGATAAATAATAAACAACTCAATCAACTTCAGTTGTTGTATTTGCATTAATTCAATCATTCTTTTGTTGTAACATTAAAGACTTCACAACTTTTTTGGGAACCTGTTTCAATTAATATACTTAACAGTTTCAATGTCATTCCCCAACAACTGCTTCCAACTATTGATATTCTTCCGCACACACACTTATATAATATATATATATATATATATATATATATATATATATATATATATATATATATATATATATATATATGTGTGTGTGTGTGTGTGTGTGTGTGTGTGTGTGTGTGTGTGTGTGTGTGTGTGTGTGTGTGTGTTTTGGATCCTTTTTACACATCTATTCCAACACTCACTCATATTGTACATGTAGTAATCTATATCGTTGTCTATGGATGTAAATGACTCATCAAATGTCAGGCATCGGAGGAAGATGATATTACAAAAGAAAAAGTCTAAACATAGTCTAAAAGTCACAACTTTGTAAACAATATGTATTTATTTATATTAACATATAAATGGAACCAATCATGATAACAATTTTACTATAGCATCTGACGTATAAATTTATGCTATTTTATGTTAGATGAAAATATTACACCTGTTATGCATACCACTGGACTTGGAGGTTCATCCTGTATGCAACATCTTTCTCTGAGAACTCCATTGTCTACATTAATAACATGTAAATTCTCCATATCACTTTTCTATTCCATATATTTGATTACAATGTTGTCCATTTGTTATATAAAAATATGTCTATTTTTAATTTTGTAATTTGTAATATGTTGGAGCTACCAGTGAAACAACTTATGTGAATACTAGAGCAAGTGCTACTATTGACAATGATGGTTGTACATTTTCCCCAAACGTAAGCAACCACCGCTGTCTAATTCGTGCACACCTCTAAAACTGTTATGTAACCGAATGAATTGCCAAGACTATAAAAGTAAACATTACAAAGGCAACATCCGAGCATATAATAGTAGGTTCTATTTTACATCTATGGGTGGTAAGATCCAGTCGAACTCTTACAGTGGTTCTCCCAAATTTATTCTCAGTGGACCAAATTTTCACAGAATTGGTAGTCTGATTCCAGAAGATGGAGTAGTTCCCAAATTTGCACAGCTTTATATTCATGACACAACAAATGAGGTAAACAACAGTTATAGATAATTTCTAGATAATTGAGTCACAGAGGTTGAATTGGCTACGCATGAACCAGACATCAATAAGATGTGATATGTTAAGTGGATTACAAGAAGCTGTTTATAGCAAAGAAATTAATCCATCTACAGTAGGAAAGCGTGTTGTACTGTCTGCACTTTTACTGGCAATCCAAGATACATGTTTAACAACTGTTAGGATGCAATGGAAATTTGCAAAAAAATTGGTTATCCTGATTTGTTCATCACCATCATGTGCAATGCTAATTGGCCATAAATCAAAAACTTTGTTTGCACCGAGTGATCATCCGGAAATTATTTCTAGAGTCTTTAAGGGAAAGCTTGATGAAATGATGAGTGATTTTAAAAAGGAAAAAATATTCGGAAACGTCGTTGCAAGTAATTGAACAACTTAATTGGAGTGTTATTGATTATTTATATATATAACTAAAGAAATTTTAAATTAAATTTGCCTTGTTTCTCAGGGACATACACCATAGAGTTTTAGAAGAGGGGTCTGACGTACGCACATATTTTGTTATGGCTCGATGCATCAAATTCATTAAAAATAAGTGCTGACATAGACAAATTCATATATGTAGAACTACCCGATGGTAATCTGTATCCTAAACTTGCAAGTGTTGTTTCAAATTTTATGATGCATGGGCCATACGGAAAGGCCAATGTAAATTCCCCATGTATGAAAGATGGCAAGTGCTCCAAAATTTTCCCAAAGGATTACTAAAGTTCCACCACAGTGAACGACGAGGGCTATCTAAAGTATATGTATTGAGATTCTAGTTTATATATTCAGAAAAGGGGAATAAGCTTGGGCAATAGGTATGTAGTTCCTTACAATCCCAAATTATTAGTGAGATATCACGCACATATCAATGTTGAGTATCGCAACAAGGGAAATGCTATCAAGTATTTGTTTAAATATGTTAATAAAGGCCTTGATAGAGCGATAATTGAGATTTCAAATAGATCTGAAGACAAACATGTTTTGGATGAAATAAAACAATACTACGAATGTCGTTATTTGGCACCGTGTGAAGCTGTCTGGAGAATTTTTGAGTTTGGCATACATCATAGGTGGCTTTCTGTTATAAGGCTTACTTTTTACCTTGAAAACGAGTTGTCTATAATGTTTTTGGAAATTCATACAATTGAGTCTGTCATAAACTGTAATGAAGACATTGACACCATGTTTTTGGCTTGGTTTGAGGCAAATAAACAATATTTACAAGGACGAGGTTTGACTTATGCTGAATTTCCTAAAATGTTCATTTATGATCAAAATATCAAACAGTGGCATCCAAGACAAAGAGGTAACTCTATGGGAAGACTTACTTATATTCCCCCCATATATGGTAATGTTTTTTATTTAAGTCTATTGTTGACTTTACAAAAGGGTTGCACGTGTTATAATGACATTAAAATCGTTTCTAGCACAATACACAAAACCTATAAGGAAGCATGTGTCACATTGAGGTTGCTATGAAACGACAATGAATTTGTGTATGCTATTACAGAAGCCAGTCAGGTGGTCTCCGGTAACTAGTTGGGGAAATTGTTTGTTATGTTATTGTTTATGGACTCAATGAAAATTCCTTATGTGGTTTGGGACACAACGTGGAAACTCCTGTGCGGTGGAATTTTGTATGATGCAAGGAAGCGACTGAACAACCCATACATTAATATATATGTTTAATCAATGTTTTATTCTATCTTTGAATTATGTTGAAATCCATGAATTCGGTTGCAAGGCTTCAGATTACTGATGACGAATTGAAGAATCTATGTTTGGTTGAGATCGAAAAATTGCTTTCGTCAAACGGTAATTCTCTTGATGACTTTGAGTCCATGCCACAACCTTCACATTCAAAAATGGCTCAATTTAGGAATAGTTTAATGGTTACTGAATTAAACTACGACAAGGAAAATTTGGCTGCAATTCATATGACATTGATGTCAAGCTTGACTGCTATAAATAGACCACTCTTTCACACTATTTTTCATCCATAATTTCATAATCATCCCAACTCACTAGATTTCTCCTAAATTTGTTGCTCTTCACATCGAAGAACAACAACAAAGAAAACTTGAAGCATCCATCAACAATCATTAGGAGAATCCACAAGTTATAAAAAAATCTCTCCTAAAGTTCTTGTTCTTCACATCGAAGAACAACAACAAATAAATACTAAGCCTTCAGAATTCGGTATTCATCCAGGAAATCACATTAGAGAAAGGAAAGAAAAAGCATGAAGAACAAAGGGAGGAAGCAGCTTAAGTGGGTCACTGCATTCTAGGTTGGTAAAACTGAACCTTTAATTGTATGACTGAATATTTGCATATGTTTTAATTTTTGTATGATTATGTTGGTTCGTTGATCTAATATTTATTGTAGGATTTATTATAATAGGTTTAAACCTTTTTTATATTATTATATAATTATCTATTAAACTTTGTTATAATTAGTGATTAATATTTTGTATAGTATATGAAGCTTTTTTTTTCCAGAAATTAGTTTTTAGAGATTATTTCAAACCCCTTTTTTTAGTTTGTTTCATTAGGGAAAATTCAAAAGAATTAACCTTTTCCTAACTCTATCTACACCCCCATAATTTACTGCGCTAACTTAATTCATACCCCCACCTGCGTTTTGGGCCCAGTTCAATATCTGAACTAGGGCCCTACTACATATACCCTCTATTTTGCTAGCCCAACACAATATACACCCCATGCGTTTCTTAATTTAATCCCTTTATTATTTATAATTATTATCATTTATATTTTATATTTTAATATATTTATTATTATTATAAAATCAAATTTATTTTCCTGACTCATCCAAATATTTACTTATTTATTGCATTAAAATCATTTTTAAATCATGAATTAATGAGATATTTTTATAATTAACACATTAAAAAACATTCAACCAACACTAAACTCTTTTTTCATAATAAACTAACTCAACAATTAATTTTCAAAAAGGATTACGAATATATTTTAATTGACTGCGCACTTCGTCTAAACTACTCCGCTATTCACACATCCAGGCTAAGTACAAGGGGATTTCAAATATCTTCGTAATCCATAAAAAAACACCAACCAACAGCAAACTATAAATTGGGACTCTGATTCCTTATAAGAGGACACATATGCATACGACTAAAATCGTGGCGAGTTC